TTATCTTTCTCTGAATGGCTTATTTTGCTTAGCATAATGCTTTCTTATTCCATCCATGCTGTTGCAAATGGTAAAAATTTCTTCTTTTTTACCACAGAGTTGTAGATATGTACCACTCTGTTTTTTTAATCCACTCATCTGCTAATGGGCACTTAGTTTGTTTCCAAATCTTAGCTAAGGTAAGTTGTGCTGCTATGAACATAGGGGTGCATATATCTTTTCTGATTGGTATTTCTAGTTTCTTGGATATATTCCTAGAAGTGGATCATTGGGCCAAATGAGACTTCCATTTTTAGTTTTTTGAGGAAACTCCATACTGTTCTCCACAGCGGCTGCACCAGTCTGCATTCCCACCAGCAGTGCACGAGGCTTCCTTTTTCTTTGCATCCTGGCCAGCATTTGTTATTTGTTGACTTGTTGATGATAGCTATTCTGACCAGTGTAGGATGGTACCACATTGTTGTTTTGATTTGCACTCTCAGATGATTAGTTACTTTGAACATGTTTTCAGATGTCCCTTGGCCTTCCTTATGTGATCTTTGGAAAAGTATCTATTTAGGTCCATTGTCCATTTTTTGATAAGGTTGTTTATCTTCCTTTTGTTAAGTTGTATGAGTTCCCTGTAAATGTTGGAGATTAAACCCTTATCAGTGATAACATTGGCAAATATGCTCTCCCATGCAGTGGGCTTTCTTGTTGTTTGTTGATGGTTTCTTTTGCTGTGCAGATGCTTTTTATTTTGATGTAGTCCCATTTGTTTATTTTCTCTTTAGTTTCCATTGCCCTAGGAGCTGTATCAGTGAAGAAATTACTTCAGCATATGTATGTGATTTTTCTGCCTGTGGATTCCTCTAATAATTTTATGGTGTCCCGTTTTATAGAAATAGTACCTTAAAAAAGTGCAAAGAACTTGCAATCAATGCTTATTATGCTCCTGCTTAATGAGGCAAAGATATCATAGTATTCTTTAGAATAATCTCTATATTATTATTTTTAAATTAAATTTAATTAAAAAATTATATGCTTGAAGGGGGAAACTTCTCATAGATAGTAAATACACAAAAGAAAAATATTTTTAAAAAAATAGTGAGGGAGAAATCAATAAATGTGTAGTAGGTATGAAACAATATAATCCTAAATAACCTATGGGTCAAGGATTAAATTACAAGGGATTTTAGAATATACTTTGAGATGAATGAACATGAAAACATGAACATTATGGGATGTAGCAAAAGTCTGAGAAGGAAATATATTGGTATAAATAGCTATACTTATAAAGAAATATGATCTTAAATCAATAACCTAACCTGCCAAATTAAGAATTTAGAAATAGACAAGCAAACTAATGGGAAGAAAAGGAAAAAGACATACTAAAGATTAGAGAGGAAAGAAATAGAGAAATTAATAAAATAAAAAGTTGGGTTCTTTTAAAGATCGACAAAATTGATAAACCTGATTAGCCTGACAATAAAAAGGACTCATATTACTAAAATAATGCATAAAAGAGAGGATATTACTACCATCTTAATAAAAATAAGAAGGGTTATAAGGCTATTAACTATTGTGCCCCAACAAATCAGATAACCTACAGGAGATGGACAACTTCTTAGTAAATCACCAATTAGCAATCTGAGACATGAAAAAATCTGAATAGACCTATAACAACATCTATAAAAAGGTGGATATACTAATTCAAAATTTTCCATAAAGAAAAGCCTGGGCCAGATAGCTTTACTGGTAAAATATGACATATGTTTAAAGAATAATTCTTTATAAACTCTTCCAAAAATTGATAGAGAAGGGAACATTTCCTAATTCATTTTATGAGACTAGAACTAACCTCATACCAAAAATATCACAAGAAAACTGTTAACCTCCATCTTATAAGTATAGACACAAAAATTATATACAAATCATATTCAGCAACATACAACAAGCATACTATGTAATAACCAAGAGGGATTTAACCGGAAATAAAGGTTGTTCAATATACAGAAATAAATGTCATATGACATATTAATAAAACGAAAGATAAAAACCATATAATAATCTCAATATAATAAGAAAATGCATATGATAAAATGCAACACCCTTGCATGATAAAAACACTCAACATATTAATAATAAAAGAGGACTTTCTTAATATTCCCTCTCACCACTTCCATCAATGTGGTATTGAAGGTTCTAGCCAAGGCACATAAGCAAGAAAATAAAATTAAAGGCATTCAGAGTAGAAAATAAATGGGACCACTGGGTCAAAAAAGTAAAATATCTCTAGTTGCAGATGAATCTTGGATATCCCAAATCCTAAGGAACACACACACACACACACACACACACACACACACTAGAATAAATAAATTAGCTCAATAAGGTGGCAGGATACAACATTAGTATTTGAAAATAAATTGTATTTCTATATATTATAGTAGCATTTAACAATAAATTAATAAAATTATTCCATTTCTAATAGTATCATAATGAATAAAATATTAAGGATAAATTGAATAAGATCAAATCTTCTATTATGAAAACAATAAACATTATCCAAAGAAACTTAAAAAGACCTAAATAAATGGAAAGGCAGCTCACATTCGTGGATTGGAAGAATTAAAATTGTTAAAATGGTAATACTTCCCAAACTAATTTTTCCAAATAGATTCAATGCAATCCCTATCACATTCTCAACTAACTTCTTATAGAAATTGACAAATTTATCCTAAAATTTATATGAAAATTCAAATGACTTAGAATAGTCAAAGCAATCTTGAAAAGGAAGAAAAATGTTGGAGCACTCACATTCCTGACTTCAAAAGTTAATGCAAAGCTATAGTGATCTACAGTGATAATTCTGGATAAGGGTAGACATATAGATAAATGTAATAGATTGGAGAGTCCAGAAAAATACCCATGCATTAATTGCCAATTAATTTTCATCAAGAGTTCCAAGATGATTCCAATCAAGGAAGAATGGTCTTTCCAACAAATGATGTTAGGACAACTAGATAATTACATGCAAAAGAAGAAAGCCAGCTGTATACCCCACACCATATACAAAATCAGACTTAAATGTAAGAGCTAGAACTATAATATCCTTAGAAGAATACATTGGTATAAATCTTGTTACTTGAGTTGAGCAATGGCTTCTTAGATTTAATCCTACTGCACAGTGACTAAAAAAAACTAGAATGTCACCCCAAAATATGTCTCTTTGACATAAAAATTTAAAGCTAAAGGCAATTAAGAAGCAACAAATGCAGGAAAAGTTTCCCCTTTTCTGCCTAAAGGCAGGATACAAATTCCTTTTTACTGGAGACAGACTCTTATCAGGCCAGGGGAATTTGCAATAAAAACCTAGCCCATTAGTTTCCTTTCATATATTTATCTATTTATCTTCCCTCAGTTTGCTACCCTTGGGAGGTTCAAGTTTCCTTTGTCTGTCACTCTCCTGTCATTAAAAAAAAAAACCAACAAATTCATTGTTTTGTTGTTGTTATTGAAGATGGTATATAAGCTGAATTCTAAGCAACTGCTTTGAGTTACTCTTTGTTTTAGGTTTCTCACATGATGTACACTGCATGTGTTAATAAACTACTTTTGTTTGTATGTCTTGTTGTTAAAGGTCTCAGCTAAAAACCTATGATGGATGAAGTTTTGCTTCCTCTACATGACAAAAAAATATATAGCTACATTTAACTTCATCAAAATTAGAGATTTTAGTCCTTCAAAGGACAGCTCAAAAGAATGCAAAGACAACCTGCCGAATGGTTGAAAGTATTTGCAAATTACCTATTCAATAACAATCTAGTTAAAAATATATAAGATATTCTTACAACTAAACAATAAAAAGTCACATAGCTCAAATAAAAAATGGGCAAGGACTTAAATAGACATTTCTCCAAAGAAGACATACAATGGCCAACAAGTACATGAAAAGATGCTCAATCTCAGTAGTCATTAGAAAAACATAAACCAAAACGACAATGAGATATCACTTAACACCCTCTGGAATGTCTATGATAAAAATATAGAGTATTGGTTAGAAATGGAAAATTTATATCCTCATACATTTCTGGTGGGAATGTAACACAGTACATGTGTTTTGGAAATCAGTTCTTAAAAGAGTTAAACATAGAATTACCATGTGACATGGTTCTTCAAAGTATATACTCAAGAGAAATGAAAATGTGCTCACAAAAAACTTGTACATGCATGTTTTTAGCAGTATTATTTATAACTATAATAGAAGCCCAGAACATGATTAAATCATGCACATGTAGGGTCCCCTAGGCCTAGCCTGCCATCAGGGCCACCCACATCCACCACCCAGCAACACCTCACATGCTATGTGGATGCTCCTGGTGCCCTGTGACACTTCATGGATGCTGCCAGCACCCTGGGGGTGGGAGTGGGAGTGAGGAGAGGGCCTAAGAAGTGCTCCATTCACCTCCTGTTGACTGGTCATTTGGTCGTTATGGCATTACAGTCACTGGCCTTTTATAATATAGATAACCAAAATGTAGAAACAGCTCAAATGTCCATCAACTAATAAACAGGTCAACAAAATATAGTGATCTATCTAATGAGATATTATTCAAGCATGGAAAAGAATGAGCTATAGAAACATGCTACAATAAATAAACCTCAGAACATTATGGTAAGTGAAAGAAGTCAGACATAAAAGGTCATAGGTCATATGATTATATTTATATGGAATTTCTAGAATAAGCAAATTTCCAAAGACAGAATGTGGTTTAGTGGTTGCCAGTGGTGGGGGAAAAGTGGGGGTAGAAAGTGATTAGTAACAGATACAGGATTTTTTTTCCTTGGGGTAATAAAAATATTTTGTAATCAGATAGTGGCAATGGTAACATGACCTCATAAATATACTAAAATCCATTGAATTGTGTGCTTTAAAGGGTATTCAGTATGGTTTATGATATAATGGTAAGCAAATTATATAGAGAAAAGAAAAATCGTGGCAAAATATTATTACTCACCTTCACCTTTAACTGTCGTGGTTAATGAAGCAAGTGTTGGCGGCAGAGGTGTTTGTAAGGATTCCTTGTTGGTCGTTCCTAGTTTGATAAGATAGATGACATTATTATTTATCATAATTTCATCTCACCTGCCAAGGAATAAATAAAAATAAGTCAAATCTGGAGGTGGACTGTAATCCCGCTCAAAGGTACTGGGTAAGCCTTTGCCTATCTTTAATTTGACCTTTTGTCCAAGCTACCTCACACACATATATGTGTATTCACACACACACAGTTTTCTTTGTATGAAAGACCAACAAAACAAATTTTTACTATAGTTTGCTACTTGGGGATCTTTAAATGTACTAAAATATTATTGTGAAAGCAAATGATTTGAAATCATTTTATTTTTCCCAATAGAGATGCAATGACCTGGTCAATAGCATCTAGGAATAACATGTCTTTATTTTTTCATAATCACATGTTATTTAGTTTAAATTGGTTATGACATTCAAACTTCCAAATAAACATAACTTAAAAAGAAATTTTCAGACTCCTATAATGAATTAATTTGTTCTTTTATGAAACATTCAGAGTGTCCACTCAGTACAAGGCCCACTCTTATACTCTGAAGGGCAGCATCTAATTCTCAGTCATCTTTTTAATCTGAATGCTATCAACAGTAATTCCTAGCATATAACCTGCATGTAGTGAATGTTGCTTCAGATAAGGTGACACTCATACAGGACAGGGAATGAACAAAGGGACAAAGCTCTGCTTTTAGTGAGCATGACTAACCACCAAGATATCCATAACCATCAGTATTTCCTTCTTTTGTAAAACACATTAGAATGTCCTTTTGTGATTAGGGCACAGGTCCCATTTTTACTATGTGACATACAGTATATAAGCTTGGTTCTTATATATATGATAATGCTTTATTGGGAGGAGGAACTATTTGCCTCTGTAAACTTTATCTAATGCTTTAAAACCCTACTCCAGAGAAGGCTTTCAATGGCAAGCTGGCTAGAGCTATATAATTTTGGGGGCTATGTAATTTGGGTGGAGGTGGAAGAGGGCATAGGGGTATAAATAGTGATAAAAAATAAAATTTTATATATATATATATATATATATATATATATAATTTTTTTAACGATACTTAGAAACCTCAAGAAGAAGATAAGACCTTTGGAGATCTGCTGAAGACAAACATCTCTAAGGTGGTGGGAATTTTTGTCTACTGCTCACTCCAAGGGAAATAGGTTATTACAGCAATTGACCGTGACTGTAAATAAGCAGCATTTGTGAATTAAAATGTGGAGTGAACAGATGTACTTAAGACTTCCTAAAAGGGTATTTTTTTTTTAATTCACATGTGGTTATATTTTAAAAGAAGACACCAATGAACAAAATATTATTCCTAAAAGCTAGGTTTGAGATGGTACATTGCCCACTCACATCCTGCTCACATTGTAAAGAGATGGAATGATGTAAATAGATTGTCCTCTCTAGCCAGATGCGGTGCCTTTGTTTCCACTTCATCCCTGCTCTTGAGACTCTTGGTACCAATAACAGGCCAAATTGAATTTTTATAATTACCTTGCCATTATGTTTTACTGGCATATGTCTTGTATATTGAAAATTCAAGAGATGATTATAGGAAATAATCAGGACATATATAATGATAACATAGAGAAAATGTCAAATTTATATAATCTGTGAGTTTCTGAAGCCCTTGACCCATTTCTTTTATACATGTCTTGAATTCATGTTTATTAGAGAGAATAGTGATATAATACAGTGGAACGTTGGCCAAAGTATTTAACCCAAATCTTATATTTGGGTTCATTTTCATTCTTGGTCTTTGGAAAACTGAAGAGCCAAATGGATTTCTGAACAGTGATTTTGTGATCATGCTGATGATTATCATATTTTATCAGCATAAAATGTCTGTAACATAAACAGTATATAATTTATTTTAGATTTGTTGTTAATGTATAAGAATTCACTTTCAAATGTAGATAAGGATTCAACATATAACTTGTAGTACAGTTCTATGTGCTAAATATGTTAACGTTCTGAAGTGTAAATGCATCTTTATGATTGCAAATTTAAGGGAGGAGGTGAGAGGGAAGAGATTAACCAAAAACTTATATGCATATACTCATAATTTAAGAACCCAGACAATAGTTGGAGTGGGGTGAGGATGGGATGGAGGGGGTCAATGAGGGAGAAAGGGGGCATCTGTAATACTTTCACAATAAAGATAAATTTTTAAAATGTAGGTACTAATGAGAATTGTTATTTCTGTTAATTTTATGTGAAAAGCAATGATTGAGTACTTAAAGTGGTCCATAAAAAAAATAGACTGAATTTAATGTGAACATTAAGAGGGTATTATAGCTATATATCTTTAGGGACATAATATAATTTTGAGTCAACAGATATTTATAAAAGATTAAATCAGAGAAGCCTTCTATTTTTTGTAAAATTATTTAGTAAACTATCATTTATAACACTTTCCAAAATAACCTTTTAGAACTGTATTTAATTCCATTCAGGACACAAGGGTTTCCAGAAAATGTCAACTTGTAAACATTTCATATTTTGTAAAAATCAACTAAAAGCAAAATGTCAACTTTACCACTTAGGAATTCTGCAAAAAGGAAAACCTAAGAGGTCATGTATAAAGATATCTCAGGTAATTCATACTCAGTTCAAACTTAAGGCATATAAAGACAATGGATAAAATATAACAAAAGTATGGGAAAAGAGGTACTCAAACCAATTTTCTTCCCACCAATAATACAAAAATTTTTCACAAAAATGCCTTCTAAAAGTCTGCTCTTTATATATGCATGTTAGTTTCTAGAAAGGAAGTACATCTTAAACATCACCATAGCTGATACCCTATATGGAAGAGATGTCCAAAGTATCTGGCTCCTCTAATGACCTTAGTTAAAATTGAACATCTACTTAGCGTAAAAAATGTTCAGTATCTCTGCTGAGAAATTTTTATTTCTTCATTATAATTCAGCTCATTAAAAATTGACTATGAAATGTTTCAAAAATCAAGCTGGAAAATAATTACATTTTAAGCATGAAATTTCAGGTTTAATTTTGTAACCTAGAAGTTCATTTTATTATGATTTTTTCAGTGTCTGCCAAATGTTGAATTTTAACTCTGGCCATTGGCCTTTGAACAAAAGGGTGGTGCACTTGGTATACATCTAGGAAGAGATCAAGTCCTCGCTCTCTAATTGGGTAGATCTCTGAGAGCAAGCTCTGTTCCAGGCCAAGCTCTATCTATTACCTCTGCCATTGCTGTAAGAATACCCTTGCTGTTGCACATTTTCACTTTTCTGATAACATTTCTGCCATTTTCTGGAGAAAGAAAGTGTACATGCTTTAGGATACACATAAGCACTATTAAATCAACTGTTTTTGATCTTTAAACAAAACAAAAAAAAATCTGGTAAGCCTTACAATGAAAATAAAGATAATAATTTAATAAAAAAAATAAACAAGTTAAAAAAATAAAATATATTTTTATGATTTAAAAAAATAAGAAAGATTGTTGTGGGGAGTTCTGCTAAAAATGTTTGAAAATAAAATGAATTTCTTAATTAAAAAAAGAAAAAGAAAATAAAGAAGCTTATCAATGGCATACTTTTTGTTTGTTTTTTGTTAAGTAATTCTATTGTGGCTAAAATTACCTTTTGGGTATGAGGAAGGGGGGGGGGATATGGAATCACCTCAATATAGATATACCTTTTGTGATATTATTATATAATCTAAAGGTAGTTATTTTGGAGGATGAGACTTTGTATAAAACTCCCTAATATGTAAATCCCCTTACAGGTCTGAAGTTAAGAAAACATCTAAATCTGGCTGGATAGCTCCCTTGGTTAGAGCCTTGCCCCAATACAATACTATGGGTTCCATCCCTGATCAGGACGCATACAAGAATCAACCAATGAATGCATGAATGTCTGTATGTGTCTGTCTCTCTCTCACCATTCCTTTCTCCCTCTTTTCCTCTCTCTCTCTAATAATAATAATAATAATAATAATAACAATAATAATAATAATTGATGTTTCTCTCTCCTTTCCTTTCTCTGCCTTCCTTCTCCACTCATTTCCTTTTAGGTACCATTCCACGACCCCCTCACCTCACCACTGCCTAATGGCCCCACACATCCTGACCACCACCCCAGACTTTCCGTTTCTCATACTGCACCAGAGCAGATTTTGCCCATCAGGGCCTGCCTTTCCTTCTTCATCTGCCTTCCACTGCTTTCCTGAGAGATCCCAGAATAGATTCTTTCCTTCTCCTAATCCATCTTCACTGCTATATTTTTGGTTACTAAAACCCTTAAAACCCCTCTAAACAAATATTGTATGATTCTAAGAAATTCTTAATTTAAGGGATTTGATAATGACATTGTAGCTTTAAAATAACCTGTTAACCGAGCAGGACCTATAAATACGTCAAATGTAAACAATATCGGGAACAGGTAGGACGTATGAATACGTCCTTGAAATATATGTTTCGTCCCGAGAGGGACGGTATATATTTTTTGTAATCTTTTTTTAAAAAAAAAATATTTTATTGATTTTTTACAGAGAGGAAGGAAAGGGGAGGGATAGAGAGTTATTAATATCGATGAGATGAGAGAGAAACATCGATCAGCTGCCTCTTGCACACCTCCCACTGGGGATGTGCCGGCAACCAAGGTACATGCCCTTGACCAGAATCAAACCCGGGGCCTTTAAGTCCGAAGGCTGACGCTCTATCCACTGAGCCAAACCTGTTTCGGCTATTTTTTGTAATCTTTATCATTGTTTGTAAAATTTATAATTTTTTTATTTGACGTGTCCATTATTTTTTTGTCGGTATTCTTTTCTAGTTTTTTTTTTATAATTTTGTATTTTCCTTTGTTTTTTATATATATAAATAAACAAAAAATATATATTTCATTTATTTTCATTAAGTATAAATGAAAAAAAATAATATGAAATTACGTCTTCCGGGCGTGACGTACTGACATGTCCTAGTGAAAGAGTACGCGCCCGTTACAGGTTGCGTCATTAAAAAGGGAACTCCCCGGTTAACAGGTTAAATTGTATATATATGCTACCTAATAAAAGAGTAATATGCAAATTAACCATCACTCTGCTACACCCACCAGCCACTCTTACCAGCCAATCAGAGCAAGTATGCAAATGAACCCAACCAAGCTGTCTACAGCCATAGAGAGCAGGAGGGAAGCTTGGGTTTCCCAAGCAACATAAAAAGCCAAGTTTTCTACCTGCCCTTGCCTGCCTAGGCCTCCACTCAAGGCTACAAAGTTTCAATAGTAGAAGGTAAATAAATTCCAGATATAAGGGCCTCTGCTTGGGTTGCCAGGGAAGTGTGGCCAGCTTGCAAACCACCACAGACCCCTCACTCAGGCCACCTCATGCCACAAGGGAACCCCCACCCTGACCCAAGACACCCTTCAGGACAAACCAGCTGGCCCCCACCCATGCACCAGGCCTCTATCCTATCTAATAAAAGAGTAATATGCAGATTGATCATCACTCCAACACACAAGATGGCTGCCTCCAAATGATCAAAGATGGCTGCTCCCATGTGGACACAAGATGGCCACCACAAGATAGCCAGCAGGGGAAGGCAGCTGAGAGGCACCAAGCTTTCAAGGGAGGCCAGTTGGAGGTGATCAACCTTGCAGGGGAGGGTGGTTAGGGGTGACCAGACCGGCAGAGGAGGGAAGTTGGGGGCAAACAGGCTGGCAGGGGAGCAGTTAGACATTAATCAGGCTGGCATGGGAGTGGTTAGGGGGTGATCAGGCTGGCAAGCAGAAGTGGTTAGGGGCAATCAGGAAGGTAGGCAGGCGAACCGTTGGGAGCCAGCAGTCCTGGATTGTGAGAATGGTGTCTGACTGCCGGGGTCCCAAATTAGAGAGGGTGCAGTCTGGGCTGAGGGACACCACCACCCCTGAGAATATACACACACATATTCTCACTTGAGGATAGTTTTTTATTGATTTTAGAGAGATGAAGGGAGAAAAATATTAATGTGAGAGAGAAACATTGGTTGGTTGCTTCCCATATGCACCCTGGCCAAGGATTAGATCCACAACCATTTTTTATACAGGTTAGGCTCCAACCAACTGAGCCACCTGCCCAGGGTAATTGTCCATATTTTTAGATTCACATTTAGTTTGTAGAGTTAAATGGCATAAATTCTGGATTCCCTTCTAAATCTTTACACTCGAAAAAAATAAAAAGAGAGAAGAGAAAGAAAAAAAGAAATAAAGGACAGAGGGAGGGAGAAGGAAGGAAGGAAGGAGAAAAATATGAAGAAAATGTGGTAAAATCTTGATAATTATTGACTCTGGGAGATGGGCATATGGATGTTATTTATAGTGTTCTACTTTTGGATTCATCTGAACATTTTTATAATAAAAATAACAAAAACAAAAGCTTCTCTGGCTTATTATAATTTTTACAATAGAATGTGAATAATTTAAAGCCCTTTTGGAAATCTTTTGAAGAACAGATTAGAATTTAACTTTTGTTAACTAGGTACTATGAAGCAGTAAATGTGCCATGGAAAGGAATGAGGAGCTGTGTGTGTGTGTGTGTGTGTGTGTGTGTGTGTGTGTTTGTGTGTGTATCATTCTCAAGCGTTCTATGCATTTGCTTCAGAGAAGGGGGCTTTACGTCCCTTTATAGGAGCTCCCAACTGTAAAGTTACTAAACATGATTCTCAGTTATGCTTTAGATGAGTAGTTATAGTGTTTCTGTTCCAATAAAAAATGTGAGATGCATTCTTGGTATCACAAATGACAATTCGGTCTGAATTCCTCAGGGAACTCACTTCCACCTCTGCCCTTTTATGGTCATGTATATAGTGGTTAGGATTTGTGTTATTATTTGGACAGTGTTATTCACCATAGAACATTGTAAGCAGGGTTAGGAATCTTCCCATTGAAAAAACATAAGTTCCAAGTAGTTAACACAAAAACTGTGAAAGTTCGACCTTTTGGGTTTGTATGTCAAGTCAGTCCTTACTTACTTATACCAAGGTGTCAGCTAGATCAACTGAAAGAGATAGGGACAGAGATAGAGATATAGAGATACCCTCTTGGTATAATACTTTCTCATGTTGTGATAGAGAAGTTCTAGGAGTTTAAGGCTTTACCTTAAAATTAAACATTTCAAAGATAATCTATATAATAAAAGCATAATTCGCTAATTAAACCCTATATCCTTCTAGACTAAGCCAGGGCTGCAGCCATTATGGCTGAAAGTGAGGTATCCAGGCAGCTGCCTGAAGGCCCTCTCTTGCATGAATTTCATGCATTGGGCCTATAGTGGAATATCTATTCTAATAAAAGGATAATATGTAAATTGGTCATGACGCCCTAACAGTAACAACCAAATAACAGGCTGCATGGGGTGACCAAGCTGGCAGGCAGGGGCTTAGCAAGGGATGACCAAATGACTGAACAGCAGGCTGCCTGGGGTGACCAGCTCAGCAGGGGGGAGGAGGGACAATTGGGGATGACCAGGCTGGCAGGTAGTAGTGAGGAGTCATCAGGCTAGCAGAGGGGGGCAATGAGGGGCAACCAGATGAGCAGGAGGGTAGAGTTGGAGATGACCAGTTCAGCAGAGGGGAGCTATTGGGGGTAACCAGGCTGGTAGTCAGAGGCAGTTAGGGGTGATCAGGCTGGCAAGGGCAATCAAGCAGGTAGGCAGTTGAGCAGTTAGGAGCCAGTGTTCACAGATTGTGAGAGGAATGTCCAACTACCAGTTTCGGCCTGATCTCAGGGATCAGACTAAAATCGGCAGTCATACATCCCCCAAGGAGTCCCAGATTGGAGAGGGTTCAGGCTGAACTGAGGAGACCCCTCTCCTGTGCACGAATTTCATGCACTGGGCCTCTAGTATTTATAATACCATTTTACTCTACGAATCCCCAAACCATTCAGGTCCAGTGAACTACTCATCATCGATCCTCAGCATGTGTTTAAGCTTGGCATTAGAATAAAAGGTGAATGAAGAACAGAGAGATAAGAAAGATAGATGAGGGAATTATAGTCATCCATTCATTTAGAAGTATGATTTTCAGGTATTTCTATGAATTTAATATTCTACCAGTTTTTAATGCCACAGGCAATCAACAAACAATTTTTTTCTCTCCATTGATTGTTGGACCTAAATGATCTGCCTCATTTTATGTGTGTTGCAGGATAGGAAATGCAGTATTCAAATAACTTCTTGAGTTTTAAATTCAATAATCGTAATGTCTCCTTTTACTTTTCATTGATGGTAAGGTAATCCCCTTTATACTTAGAGCATAAAACAGAATAGTGTTGACATTGCTACTGACACCTGAAAATTAAAGCTATTCTCAGCCCAATATAACTAACAAAATCAGCTTGTTATTAATATAGTCAACTGTGCTACTTAGGTGGAGAACTGCAAAATTTAGAAAGATATTTTTATGATTTAGGAAATGATGGTTTTATTTTTTTCTAAAAATAAACTTTGTGTATATAACCTTCACAATAGGATAAGTCTCAAACAGGAAGTGATCTAAGGGGACATTATCAAAGAATCCCACTGAGATTGCAGGGTTCTGTATTCAATCCAAAATAACAAGAGTTTCAAAATAGTAAACTAGCACAGAACTTCATATCAACAGGTGCAATGTCTTAAATTATTTTCCTGTGATTAAATTACAATGGCTCTAATAATTTTATTTGTTAAAGTTAGAGTGAATTTCATTCTAAGTATTTATCCTACCTTTGGGAGATGTTCCAGCTGTTAATTGCACAGCAAGATTTAGTGATGTTGTTATAACTGGTGTTGGTCCAAATGTTTTTGCTGCAGAAATTGTTGGTGATTTTAATACAGGACTGGTTGAAGTTTCAACAACTGAAAAAAATAAATTGTGTCAAAGTTGTTGCATTAAAATTTAAATTTATTTTGCCGATCAACAGACTATTGTATTTAAGCTAGTAGTCCAGAGCACAAATCCGTATGCCAGTAGCTCACCAGTAGCTTACTGCCCCTTCCAGTAGCTCTCCATCGACTGCCCTGCCCTCCTGTAGTTTCCTGCCTCCCAGCTCCTCATCTTAGCTTGCTACCCTGTCCCCTCCTATAGCTTCCCCTGCACCTCCATCCTTCCCTCATAACTTGCTGCCCTGCCCCCTACTGTAGCTCTCAGCCACCCATTGTAGCTCCCTGCCCCACCCTCCTGTTGATCTGTGATCCAGTCATATGTGATGGGTCGTTATGCTTCACAGTGTAAAAGCATTTGCATATTACATCTTTATTATATAGAGTAAAATGAACTCCGTGTATATGCTGTTAACACAGCTTATTACAGTTGTTTCTCTTCTCCCTCCCAAAACTCTCTCTACCCAGTACCCACCCCATCCCATACCCTTACCCCTCCACTGGCCTCGTCCATATGTTTAAGATTTTTATCTAATCTCTTTTTGCACCCTCCATACCCTCTTTCCCCTGAGAATTGTCAGTCTACTCCCTTTCTATGCCCCTGATTCTATTATATTCCCCAGTTTATTCTGTTCCTCAGATTTTTAATTCACTTGATTTTTAGATTCAGTTGTTGATAGATATGTATTTGTTGTCACTTTGTTGTTCATGAATTTTATCTTTACCTTTTTTCTTCTTTTTCCTCTTCTTAAAGAATACCTGTAGTCCTCTTTGGATTCCTTTTGTTTGGGATTCTGTGCACTTCCTGAACTTGTAAGTCTATTTCTTTCCCTAGGTGGGGGAAATTTTCAGTTATTATTTCTTCAAATAAATTTTCAGTATCTTGCTCTTTCTCTTCTCTGGCACTCTCATAATTCTGATGTTGGTACACTTGAAGTTGTCCCAGAGACTTCTTACACTATCTCCAATTTTTAAAATTCTTTTTTCTGTTTACTTTTCTGCCTGAGTGTCCTTTGCTTCATTGTATTTCAAATCTTTGACTTGATTCTTGCGTTCTCTAGTCTGCTGTTGGGTGTCTGTATAATATTTTTTATTTCAGTCAATGTATGTTTAATTTCTAGTTGGTCCTTTTTCATATTCTCCAGGGTCTCATTAAATTTATTGGCCTTTTCTAGGAAATTCTTGAAAAACCTTATAACCATGGTTTTGAATTCTATATCCAGTTGTCTGTTCTCCTCCATTTCTTTCATTTGTGGTCTGTTTCTTTCCGTATTTTCGCTGCTTCCCTGAGTCGGTAGGGTAACTTTATGTGCTAGGTTTCCTATATGGCCCAGTGGGTCAGCCTTTTTAGTTACCTGAGGTAGACACTCTTGGTGCTCCCCTTTGTGGACTGTGTGTACAGCCTTGTTGTAGTTAAGTCTTGATTGTTGTTGGTATTATTGGGAAGAATTGACCTCCAGGGCAATTGGCTGTGAGTATCAGCTGTGTCTACACCAGGATACCTTCTGTATTGGAGAAAGCCTTATAGGACCAGACTTGCAAAATTGCAAAAGCCTCTATGGTCAGCTTAGATGGGGTGGAGTCTCAGGGCTGAGCCAACAGTCTTGGCTTTCCTTCAGCCCTGTCTTTTGCACATGCCTCCAGACCCCCTTCCTTCCATGGATCCCCTGAGTTTCCACCTGACAGTCCAGATTCCCCCTGTAAGAGCATGGGTATCCCAGGGGCTCACAGGGAACTGGGTTTCAGTGCAGTCAGGATCTTCTGACTCCTTAAGCTTTGGAAAGCCTGTGGCAACTGCTGCAGTCAGACCTCTCTGAGTGCACTTGTGCCTCCAGAACCCTGCCACTGTGGCTCCCCTGAGCCTGCAAGTCTCCGTGCGCATTTCTCTACAGTCCAGACTCCCCCAGAATGAGCCTGGGTCCATGGGTTTCAGTCGGAGTTGGGGTTCAGTGCAGAGGGAACTGGGGTTCAGTGCAGTCAGGGCTTCCTTTTCTTTTCTGCCAGCCAGGCACTCTGCCGCCTTTCTTCTGTGCGAGTGTGTCTCCCTACCTCAGCGCCTTTGTGGCTCCTCTGATGTGCTTTTCTCTTTCCTTCTAGTTGTAGAATTTCCACTTAGCCAGCTTTCCTGTGATTTTGGATGAGGTCCGTTCTGTCTTTTATTTTTTTTAAATATATTTTATTGATTTTTTACAGAGAGGAAGGGAAAGAGATAGAGAGCTAGAAATGTCGATGAGAGAGAAACATCGACCAGCTGCCTCTTGCACACCCCGCAACCAATGTACATGCCCTTGCCCAATATCAAACCTGGGACCTTTCAGTCCGCAGACCGACGCTCTACCACTGAGCCAAACTGGCTTCGGCCCGTTCTGTCTTTCAGTTGTTGTTTTGAAATTGTTGTGCAAAGCAGCGGTTTAGGTGCTTACCTAGGCCACCATCTTGGTTTTCCAAGTTTTCAATATCTTGCTCTCTCTCTTCTTCTGGCACCCCCATAATTTGGATGTTGGTATGCTTGAAGTTGTCTCAGAGGCTCCTTATGCTATCTTAATATTTTTGGATTCTTCTTGCTTTTCAGTTAGGTGTTTTTTGCTTCTTTGTATTTCAAATCTTCAACTTTATTCTCGGGATCCTCTAGTCTAGTGTTGGGTCTCTGTATATTATTCTTCATTTCAGTCAGTGTATGTTTAATTTCTTATTGGCCTTTTTCATATCCTTGAGGGTCTCACTAAAATTCTTGGAGGTTTCTAGAAGATTCTTGAGTAACGTTATAACCGTGGTGGTTTTGAACTCTATATCCAGTAGTTTGCCCTCTTCCATTTCTTTCATTTGTGACCTTTGTCTTTCTCTCCACATTTTGGCTGCTTCCCTGTATTGATAGAGTGGCCTTGTGTGTTAGGTGTCCTATAGGGCCCAGTGGATCAGCCTCCCCAATTACCTGAAGTGGACACTCTTGGTGCACCCCTTTGTGGTCTGTGTGCACTGTCTTGTTGTAGTTAAGCCTTGATTGCTGTTGGTATCACTGGAAGGAATTGACCTCCAGGCCAATTGGCTGTGAGGACCAGCTGTGTCTACAATGGGAGAACTGCTGTGCTAGAGACACTTATAGGGCAGGACTTGTTTCAGCCTGCCTCTGCACCTCTGCACTTCTGCATCTCCACACCTCCTACCAGTCTCAATGTACTTTTTTCTTGTTGTAGAACTTCCACTCAACCAGTTGTCCCATAGTTCTTGGATGATATTTATTTTGTCTTTTAGTTGAAGTTTTGATGTGGTTGTAAGAGGCAGCAAGTACAGGTGTTTAACTATGCTGCCATCTTAGTTATCCCCCAACAAAGACTTATATTTAAATCCCAGGGCTATAACATTTCAGTAAATGTATGTCACTAGTATAATTTTCAACTTTAAATTTCATCCCAAATTTTCCTCTTTAAAAATTTTTCCTCTTTTAAATTACGAGTGTAATTTTTAAAGTTTTTTAATTAAAATATTAAAAAATAAGATATGTAGCCTTGGTATTATAATTATGTATTTTACATTTCAAAAATAATAAAGTTCAAAAATTGTTTTTTACTGTACTAAAATAATAGTTTTAATCCTTTAAAAAGGTATATATAATCTCATCAATTATAACTTTTATTACATTAAATATAAGGTGCTAACTTCTTCAGTTATAATGAATAAAAATAAACTTAACTTAAAATTTTTCCTCTTTTGAATCTGGAAAATACCAATAATCTTTCATGTCAGAGAAAAGTAATATTTCAAATGCCATGAGATAGGGCATATTTCCTGTTTCACTTTACAGCAGCAGTTTTCAACCTTTTCTTTCATCTCATGGCACAATTAATAGTTACTAAAATTTGGCGGCTCATCAAAAAAATATATTATAGATTTTTTTTGCCAATCTGACAAAAATAATAGGTGTAATTTTGATTCACTTACATCGATGGCTATTGTGTTGGCTATTGTCGTTTTTTTCATTTGACAATCTAAGGAAAAAGAGATCAGTGCCCCTGACTAAATAGTTAGATATTGCATGTTTTAAAAATTCTTGTGATACACCCGTTGAAAATTGCTACTTTATATTTTTGAGTGCTTGTAAATGTTAGCACTTAGCACCAACTTTGTTTATAGCCAGTACACAGAAGTTGCTTGATGTATTCAGCATATACTAGTTGTGTTCAGCACATACTGAAATGACAGAACTGCTTTTTCACAGGCTTTATGGAAATCAAATCAAAAGCTTTTTCCACCTCTGGAGATTTACTTCACAACTTTCTGGTCATCCCTCGCCTTCCCACAATATTCATCAGGGAGAAGGAACCTAGCATAGATGAGGTTATCTTCTCTCTATTGTCATTTTGTTCTATCTTTCTTTTTCTCTGTAGTCCATGATGATATACTAATTTCTAAGTTTAAATTAAGGTTGAAGAAGTTATTCAAGGAAGCACATAGCACATTGACTGGAATTTTTTCTTGTAATTATTTGAATGCTTCCCATCTGTTGACTTCCAAAATAGTAGCAATATTAATTTCTGAATATAACCAACATCTCTAGAGATATTTTTCTTATTTCCTTCCTTCCTCTCCCTTTTTCTCTCACCCTTGCTTCCTTTCTTTTTTCCCTACCTTTTTCCTTTCACAAACACTTAGTAACAAATATGAAAAGCACAATTCAATACAGTAAAATATTCTATAATGTACCACATATTATCACCCTTGAGTAGCTTTCAATCCTGTAAGGGATGTGATGCTTATACATAATAAATAATAAAAGATATTTTGTATGTAGAATAGTGTTTTTCAAAGTGCAGGTTATGATACATTTAAAGTCTAGTGCATAACCTGATGCATCTAAAATCATATCTCCTTCCATCCCCATACACTCAAATTGTAAGCATACATTTGCATTATACAGATCATGTATCATAGAATTCTACACTTGAATCCTATATAATTTTATTATCCAATGTCACCTA